CTAACATTAGGTGCATATAACGGTGCACGTCTGCGGTGTTTTGTAGTTTCTCCGGCACATAACGCCACCAGTACTTCCTGTCGTCGCGATACGCATTCTCTAGGAATTTTGCTAGCGCAAAGCGTCCAATTCGTCGTGGGACACTGCACAGCAACTTTCGTTCTTTGGCCACATGTGCTAGCGCAACGTCATCGCGCTCATACACTGAAGATGATAAGTCGCTAATGTTAACACGGATTCTTTCCAACAAATCCTTGGAGAGGTCCAATAGTAGGATTGGAACCTCTTTGCCACTGCTAATTCCCCCCCTCGGTAACTCACCATCCAGATTATCAGAAGGCGACTTCTCAGGTGTCTGAAAGACACTCAAAAAGTCAGAAATACTGAAAGACATGCTACAAATCAAGCTTGGCGGCAAGAGAAACAGCAAGAGAGAAGGAACAGTCAGAAAAAAACAGGAAACAGTTTGACAGCAAGACTGGAGTTGATCGTCTCTCCACTTACAGTTGCTGTTGTGTGTTTCTCTGACTGTCAGTGAATGACCTTTTCAGGTCTTCGGTGGAAAAACTTGGGCTTCGCGTTGCGTGGTGTTTAGCATTTGACAAGCTGTGTGTCTTTCCTCCTAGATGTTGGCCTCTTGTCTCAACTGTCCTTTGTCCCTAATTTTTCTGTTGGTCTTGCCTTGGTCGGAAAATGGTAACATGGGTAATATTGGCCCTATAATTCAAATTTGGAATTTTACATCATGAAAGATTCTTGTAAGCTGAAACCAGTTTCGTCCATTTCAACAAAGAATTGTTGGGATATGACGAAATATGAGTTTTTACGTTCCAAAAGAAACTATTCAAGTACGAGGTCTTGACACGTGCGATCAGAATTTGATCGTGCAAGATGTCGGGATTCGATGCAAGTATGCCGGACGCGAGTCTGTCGGACAATCTGTATCCACACAAACAGGAAAAGATCCTGTACAAGTGGAATATTGATGTTGTGTACGATGCAGTAGGGAATAATGCAAGATATCCCAAAGTAC